TGACAATGGTTAACAGTCTCACAACACATCAGCAATATCCTTACTCAACCTTGGGTTCCCTATCATCAGCTTCCTTGTCCCCTTCTGCTTTCTGGCCCTTGTCACTGTACTCCTGTACCTCGTTAGTCTCATTTGGTTTTACGGGGCTGTCCATCCCCAGGCTGAACCGTGAACCTCGGAGGTAACTTCACCACTGAGCTAAAACAGTGTTTGGGGGTCATACTCTCGGGGTTTCTCCAGTCTCCTTTAGGCCAGTAAATTTGGTCTTTTTTTTGTGAGTTAGAATTATGCTCTACATCCTTCTCCAGCTCTGTCCAGAACCCTCTGTTTTGATCCTGGTCAGAGCAGTCAATGGTGGTAGCCGGGCACCATCTAGCTGTACTGGACTCAGTCCGGTGGAGGCCTTGGTAGCTGTGGACAGTTAGTCCTTTGGACTAATCTTTTCTGGAGAGGCAGATATTTGAAGGCCCATTGGGGGTTTGGTGGAGAGGACTATGTGGGAAACCCCAGGAGTTGGAACTAATCCCCACGGGTGGAAATTATGGGAGGGCAGATTCTGGTTTTTGTTGTGCGTAGTGCTGCTATTGGTTCAGTGCTCAGAGAATTCCTGCCGCGAAACTGGTGAGATGGTTATAATTCTGTGCGATTCTGTGAAATGTTTATGATTCTGTGAAACTCTGTGGCAGAATATGAACCGCCTGTTTCTGGGCTCAGGTGTGTGTGGGTGCATGCCTTTCATTGGCCTTTGTCTTAAGCACTTTTGTGCATTTCATCCCGCTGGGTTCCTTCATAAGAGTGTGGGTAGGAAGCGCCACTCTGTTGTTTTCTCGTAGTTTTTGAGTGTACCCATATAGGCCTGTGAGGATATGGCCCCAGAGAACTGGCTAGTCACATTTGTGTTTGCACTCGGGAGACCAAAAGGACACGGCATAAATTGCAGCTTTGACAGCTCAGGTCTGTGCATGGACACACATCCCAGGAGTGCGATTAGCCGGTGAGCTGCCCCAGGCTCTGAGTGGAAGCTGACAGTGGTGCTTCGAGAAACAGCCCTAGTCACATGGACCACTGTGGCATCAGTTTCTGTAGATATGTGTTGACACTCATGACATGCCCGGCTCGGGGATAAGCAGTGAAAGGGGCGTGCACTCTGTCTGCACAGAGTCCTGTGGGGAAGCCATACAGCCACACAGGGAGTCCTTACACGGTGTGGAAATTTTATGTCGTGTTCATTGCTACTGATGCCCAGAACACAATTTAACAAATAATGATGTAGTGGATGCTTCAATGCTAAAGCCTGGAGCAGGAACTCATGACCAGAGGTGTGTTTTCTTTAGCATGCAAAGTGTCCTTTAAAAATTTGAATTTGGCGTTCAAACATTTTTAAAAAGGGAGATTTCATATAAAAATCTCGATTTCCATTTTTCCATGGCAAAATTGGAAAAGTTAGCTGCAGTAGGCTAGACTTCCCACCAGGTGGTGGTGAGCAGAGAGAAGGCCTGGCTTTCCCACTTTTGATGAGGCAAATGCTTTTCAGTTTGCAGTGGTCCATACCACTCCCTAGTCTCATGTCCGGCCCACTTACTTATCCTGCCTGCCTGGCTGCCCCTGTAGACAGCTCCCTGCATTGACTGAACTCACGACCACACTTGTCTCCAGCCCAGGCTTCTCCTGACCTCCACCATTTCTTTAGTTGGGCCTGTTAGAAACGTTCACTCAGATATTCCAAAGTATCCAGTCTTAACAGGTTCCCAATTAACTTGTCCCTAAACAACACCTGCCCCCCCACCCAGTTTCCAGGGCCTTAAACCATGGAAATCATTTAAGACTTCTCTCTGCCCATCAGCCTCCTATGGTCAGGTGGTCCCAACATCACTTTTTGGAGCCTAAATGTCTCTGGAATCCATTCCTTTTCCTATTTTGTTCACCACTGCCATAGTTTAGGACCCTACCTATGCTGTGTCGATGGTCTCCCAGCTTGTCTCCCTGTCACACACTATTCTAAAGCATGACACTATTCCTGTAAGCCCCCTGCTTAGAATCCTTCATGGAACCCCGCCTGCAGAATTGAGTGCTTGGTCCTTAACGTGCCACTCAAAGCCCTTCCCAGTCTACCCTGCCCACCTTTCCTCCTTCACCTCCCCCTCCTCACAGGCCCCCCAGACCTTATCTGTTCTTTGGGAGAGATTCAGACACCTCACTCCTCAGCTCCTGGGACCCTCTTCCCTGACCTGTGAGCCAGGATGTTGTCTCGGGAATGAGCGAATGAGTAAGGGGAGAACCTTGGTGAGGCAGTGGCAGGAGCCTGAGGAGCTGAGCAGGGAAGTGCCCAAGGCCCTTGCTTTTTAACTAAAAATACGCACAGATAGGCAGCAGTTTCTCTGCACATGTTTTAGGACAACTTAAAAATCTCTGAATATGTTTTGGCTTACAATGTTATCTATGTTATTGTACTCCTAAGCCTACATAGGAGCCCTGGTGGCACAGTGAGTAAGAGCTTAGGCTGCTAACCAAAAGGTCAGCAGTTCAAATCCACCAGCTGCTTCTTGGAAACCCTATGGGACAGTTCTACTCTGTCCTGTAGAGTCGCTATGAGTTGAAATTAACAGCAACAGGTTTGGTTTGGTTTTGGTCAAGCTTATGTAAGTCATCCATAACTTAGATTTTATAATAATTGCTTTTTACTTTGCTTTTTAAAAAATAATCTGTTTTTCATTCCCTAATTATAATGGTCTCCCAGCATGTGTGGCAGCCATCGCCAGGGTTGACGTTTCCCGGGACACTGCTCTAAAGACCTGCACCCCAGGTCTGATCACCAGAAGGGAAGGGTGTGTGGTGCTTCGTGGAGGCATAGGGCTGGCTCCTCCATTAATGGGGCCACGTGCCCGTGTCCCTGCAGGTGATCCGTAGGCACACGCTGGAGGAGAAGCTGCTCTGCCTGGTGCGGCACCGGGCAGGCCACCACTGCCAGAACGCCGTCATTGTCATCCTCATCCTGGCCTGGGAGGGCATTCCCCGTAGCCTGGGCGACACCCTCTACCAAGAGCTCACCGACACCCTCCGGAAGTATGGAAACCCCACCAGCCGGAGATGCGGCCTCAACGATGAGTATGTGGCGGAGGTGCAGCAGGCAGGAGTGGGGCAGGAGGTCAGGGGACCCAGGATCAGCCTGCTCTGTAACCCTGGGGGAAGCACTCACCCTCCCCAGGACCCTGTCTGCCCTGCAGAGTCAGGTCTGTGGTTGAAAGAAGGCTTGCCCTGGGGTGGTCCTGGCTTGCGAGAGTCCGTTAACTTGGCTCAGCTTCGCTGTTACGCCCCAGGTCAATCTGAGCTCTGATGGTGTTAATAAGTGTGAAAAAGTATAAATGTCCCATAACTGTATCCATATTTATAAAGCCTACCTTTTTTTTATTGTTATAAAAATGTATATAACACAGCATTTGCCGATTTAATGCTTTTCACATGTTCAATTTAGTCAGATCAATTATATTAATCATGTTGTGCCACCATCACAATGGCTTCCCTTATCCCGCTCCCTCCCACCCCTGGTGACCACTTATAAACTTTGGTCTCTATACATTTCCCTATCCTAGATATTTCATATGAGTGAGATCATATTTGTTCTTTTGTGACTGACTGACTTCACATAATGTTGTCAAGGTTCACCCATGTCATAGCGTATATCAGGACTTCGTTTCTCTTTATGGCTGTGTAATATTCAGCTGTAGCCTTATTGTGTTTCTTTTTCCCCCTCCTTTTTTTTAAGATATAATTTACTTGTAGTAAAATTCACTTTTAGGTATACAGTTCTGAGATTTTTGACAGATGTTTTCAGGCCCACAACCCACCACCACAATCAAGATATGGAACAGCTCCGTCAACCACCAAAATTCCCCCCTGCCCCTTTATAGTCAAGCCCTTCCCCCTTCCCCAGCTTCTGGCAACTACCGATCTGTTTCCTGTCCCTGTAGGTTTGCCTTTGCAAGACTGTCATATAAATGGAATCATGCAGTGGTGTGGCCTTTTGAGCCTGGCCTTTTTCACTGAGCATAACCTATTTGAGGTTCATCTACGTTGATGCGTGTATCAGTAGCTCATTCCTTTTATTGCTAAGTAATTTCCCATGTGTGGATGTACCACAGTTTGTTTATCCACTCGTCAGTTGAGGGGCATTTGGATTGTTTCCAAATTTTTATTAAGCATTGAATTTTAATTTCACTGTTCATTTGTTTAAAGGCCTGTCAGTGCAGAGACTCAAACTGAGACTTGTACACCAGTGTTCATTGCAGCTGTCATAATAGCCAAAAGCTAGAAACAACCTAAATGCCCCTCAGCATATGAATGGATAAACAAAATGTGGTACATACATGCAACGGAATACTACTCAGTCAGTAGGAGAAACGAAGTCTTGATACATGCTACTGTACGGATAGAGCTGGAAGACATTATGCTGAGCGAAATAAGTCAATCACAAAAGGACAAATATTGTATAACCTCACTTATATAAAAAGACAAGAAAAGGCAAAGAGCCCAAAGTTTATTAGTGATTATCAGGGTTGGAGGAGCACTGGTGGCACAGTGGTTAAGCACTCGACTGCTAACCAGAAGGTCAGCAGTTCAAACCCACTAGCTGCTCTATGGGAGAAAGATGTGGCAGTCTGCTTCCGTAAAGATTGCAGCCCTGGAAACCCTATGGAACAGTTCTGCTGTGTCCTGTAGGATCGCTATGAGTCAAAATCGACTTAATCGCAGTGGGTTTGGTTTTGGGTTTTTTCACCAGGGGTGGGAGGAAGGGGGAAAAAGTGGGTTAACAGTGATGGAAAAATCACATTGATTCAGGGTAGGGTTGCTCAGCCAGTTTTTGCAATTGCTGTCAAAAAGTTGTACATCTGTGAAAAGTTGAGTCGGCAAAAGTTGTGTGATAGATATATTTACAACAATGACCAAAAAAAAAGGTTGTTGAGGCTGCTTATGTACAACCAAACACCTCATGGGATTTGATTCCTTGGTTTGGAGGTTTGGTTCCTTGGTTTGGAGGTTTAGGGTCATGGTTTCATGGGACGTAATCATGTGTTTAGTGCTTATGTTCTGCCTCCTAGTTTGTTGCATAGTGCCTGGGGTCTTAAAAGCTTGCAGGTGGCCATCCATGGCACAACAGTTGATCTCTATTCACCTGGAGCAATAGAGGAAGGAGAGTCAGGAATAGGAGGAGGCTATGGAATGTGTGGCTAATTGCCTCCATGAACAACTGCTTCTTTTGCCATGAGACTAGAAAAACTAGATGGTGCCTGGCTGCCGTTACTGAACATTTTGATTAAAGATTCTGTAGAAGACTCCTGATTAAAAGGGGGGAAATGCAGAACAGAACTTCAAATTCTCATGGACCTCAGATTTTCTGGAGCCATGGAGGGTGGATGAACCCCTGAAACTATTGCCCTGAGATTATCTTTAAACCTTGAACCAAAAATATCCCCTGAAGTTATCTTAAAACCAAATAATAGTTTAGCTTAACTAGTAAAAAAAATGTCTGCCTTGAGCATTATACTCTTTTAAGAACTATCTATATGAGATCAAATAGACGACAACAACTCAAAAGATTAGGGGGTAGTGAGTTTGTATTAATGAGGGAGGAACAACTCAGAAAAGGAGGGTGAGAATGGTTGCACAACTCGAATGTAATCAGTGTCACTAAATTGTGCATGTAAAAACTGTTGAATGGGTATATGTTTTGCTGTGTATATTCTCAACAACAACAACAAAATAAATAAGATTTAGGGGAAAAAAAAAAAGGCCTGTCAGCATCTAGGGCAATAGGAGATAAGTGTGTTCAAACCTTTGGCTCATATTATTTCCCTGTTTGTGTGCTCTGTGTTGTATCTAGAAGATATTAGAGCTAAGGCAAAGCATAAACCTTATTGGGTTTTTAGAAGTAGATTCTTCCTGCCTATTTCAAACAACCGATGTGCTTCTTCCAGCAATAGACTCTGAATTAGACCTTCAGGCTCAAGGGTATGGGCAGAACAGGCTGCTTAGAGCGGGTTTTGTACCCAGAGAAACTCGAGAAAGGAGTTGGGAGTCAGAAAAGATGTCCCAGTTACTGGGAGGCTGGTGGGCAGTAGGTCTCAGCAGGGCCTCCCCTGGAGGAAGGAAAAGAGTCCCAGAACAAAGGGATATTGCACCTGTACACCTCACCTGTGCTGTCCGTTGCAGCCGCACCTGTGCTTGCCAAGGCAAAGACCCCAATACCTGTGGTGCCTCCTTCTCCTTCGGCTGCTCCTGGAGCATGTACTTCAACGGCTGCAAATATGCACGGAGCAAGACGCCACGCAAGTTCCGCCTCGCAGGGGACAATCCCAAAGAGGTGAGCAGAGCTCCACAGGGAGCAAAAGAACCCTCCCGCATACCCTTTCCACCGGGGTCTCTAACACTCAAGGTGGGAGGTAGGACTAGCACACTGTGGCTCAGGTGTTCAGAAGATGTAACTCACTTTATTTTTATTTTTTGTTGAACTGACCTTATCTTGCTACAAAACAAGATGGATGGGGTGGGTATATGGGTGGGGTTGATGAATGGAAACTTGGACTTACCAACAGGCAACAAGACTCTTCTAGTTTAGAACAGTCTATTTAAGATAAATATTCTAAATATTTAAGGTGAATATTCAGGTTCCTCATCCGAATTTGACCCTCTGAAAGAGTCATTTCTCATTCTTCCCGACATACCTTTTTGGGTGGAAGAATGTAGCAGGAGAAGGGGCCTCCAGTCCTTGAGCTGCCCTCTGGACTTCCTGAGGCATCCCTCATCTCTCTGGCTGCAGGCGTCTGGGCATCTCTGTGCAGTTCTCTGGCTGTCCTGGCCCTCACTGTCCCTGTTGCCTAAGTCCTGGCATGGTCCTTGGACACTGGGCCGGCACCACACAATGTGGCCTTCCCTCCGCAGTCTCCTTATCTAGAGGCCAGGCCTCCTCTGCCCACGGGGCTCCCTCCCCACCCTCAGGACAGCAGGACTCCTGAGCCGCGGGGTGTCCAGTGTGGCTGCGCTCAGGCTGCGGGCGAGGAGCACGAGCTCAGGCCTGTGCCCCCTGGGCCGTTCCCCCTCTGTTGCCCGTGTTGTGAAGGGCATCCTGAGAGGTGCCATCCTCTCAGACTTCCAGACGCAGAGAAGGGGCATGCATATCTGGGCTCTCGGTCCGTTCTCCCTGGCAGCCTCCCTCCCGCCTGCCTTAGGCCTGAGAGGGTGGGGTCCTGAGTCTCTTTGCCAGAATCCAGGCAGCATCTTGATCCTAATCTAAACCTTCCAAATCTCTCCAAGCCCCACCTAGTACAAGAAGCATCCCCCACCTTTATTGTGTGCTAAGTACAATGCTGACCATCTCACAGGCCTATTGGTTAGTTTCACGACACCTCCAGATCAAGGCGCTGTGACTCATTTTACACCTGAGGTCAGCAGCCTGCCGAAGGCCATGTTGCTAGAAATGGTGACGCCAGAATTTAAACCAGGTCCTTGTTTCCCCAAAGCTCACGTGCCTCCCACCGTGCTGTGCTGGGGGCAGCTTCTGGACAGCAGCCGGGAAGTGGCCGTGGCCCTCGTGGTTTGGGCTGATGCGGTGGGGGTGGCTGGGCAGCCCTGGATGCCTCACTGGACGGGAGGCTGAGCCATTGGTCTCGCCCTTCCATTTTCAGTTCTGTGAACTTGTTCTTCTTCTCTCCCCTCTTCCTCCTGCTTTCCTGTCAGTAAACTTTTCATGCCTGTGCTCACGGCCTGCTAGGAGCCCCTGCAAGCCATACTTGCTACCCCTGGAGGGCTGCAGAGAGAGGCTGTGAACGCCTGGAGACCTCTGCCCAGTGTAACGGGGGTCTGCCGCTTTGTCCGCTAGGACTTTCTGTGAGGACAGAAATGCTTTCTGCACCATCCAATATAGTGGCCATTGAGCATTCAGAATGTGGCTAGTGCAACTGAGGAACTGAATATTTTAAGTTAATTTTAATTAAAATTGGTAATTTATATTTTAGTAACTACATATGGTTAGTGACTAAGGCATTAGACAGGGCAGCTCTAGAGGATACACCTTTGTAGTCAGCCTGCATGTCTAGCTTAGGGCAGGCTCTGGGCCTGGCTGGATGTGGAACTCCTAGCACAGACCCTGTCCACCTCCCTCTGTCTGTTTCCTGTCTGCAGCATGGGAAGAAGGATCCATACTTGTTGCTAGGGTGTTCAGCACTTGAAAGCAAGACCTGTTTTGTATGTCCTGAGCTGAACTGATCTAGAACCCAATAGCAGTAGCTTAGCAGTCAGGATAACTGGACCTTCTAAAAAAAAAAGTAAACCAATTCCCATTGACTCTGACTCATGGCAACCCCATGTGTGACAGAGTAGAACTGTGCTCCATGAGAATGGAGATCACCAGGCCTTTTTCCCAAGGCACCTCTGGGTAGACTCGAACTTCCAACTTTTCGGTTAGCAGCCAAGCAAGTTAACCATCTCTGCTACCCAAGGACACCACTGGCCCTTCAAGCAGTGGCTTTTCCTGGCAAGCTTCAGTGTCCCCAACTTTAAAATGGATGTGGCACCATACCCTCCCAGAGGGAACACTGTGAAAACACCCAATGACACCTTGCTTCCCACATTTCAGTGGCAACCCCACAGCAATTCTGGAGTGATGGTTAATTTCCAGCGTGCACAGACTGCCAGGTGGGCCTTCTGGCCGTGTGTGACTGCTCTTCTTTCCGCAGGAAGAAGTGCTCCGGAAGAGTTTCCAGGACCTGGCCACGGAAGTCGCTCCCCTGTACAAGCGGCTGGCTCCCCAGGCCTATCAGAACCAGGTACTGGGTCCTGGACCTTTCTCTTTTCTCTGCCCTTAGGTCATCCCTGTCTCTGCCCAGGCCCCCTGAGGTCAGGAAATGGGGAAGTGGGCTCCTTTGTGTTTCTTACTGGAAGTGCCCAGCCTGGAAATAGAGAGCGGTACCGTAGCTCTTTGAGAAGATCCCTTTTTTACACTAAGCTAACTTTATCCCGAACCATCTCTCCCCTAACCCAGGTCTTCACCCCACACTCCCTAGCAGTCCTCTTCTGGTTCTGGTTTTCATGGGTGAGGCTCTTGTTTCTCTCCCCAGACACCTCTGCATTGCATGGGGATGTCGAGATAACCCAGAAGGGAGGCATTCCTAAAGGGACCTGAAAGCTAACTTTTTTGGAGAAGAAAACCTCACCCCACAGCCCACATGCCAGGCGGCTGTGACCCTTAGCCTCCCTCCCTCTCGCCAAGGCCTGGCCTCCCCAGGCGCAGACATGGGGCCACTCACTCAGGCCTCCTTGGCCTTCTACACAGGTGACCAATGAGGAAATAGCAATTGACTGCCGCCTGGGGCTGAAGGAAGGGCGGCCCTTCGCAGGGGTCACGGCCTGCATGGACTTCTGTGCCCACGCCCACAAGGACCAGCATAACCTCTACAACGGGTGTACCGTGGTAAGGAAGCTGTGTCCTGTCACAGCCACTGGGGACAGTCCTGGGAGGCACCTGACTGTGGTCTCTGCAGAAAGGCTGGGCTCAGTAGGAAAGCATGTGGAGATGGGATTCGAGAACTCTTGGAGGTGTCCTGTCAGACTGCCTGCTTCTCATCGAGGAAACCCTCCCCAGAAGGAATGGACAAGGCTGGACTTCGTGTGTGTGTTAGGTGGATTATTAACCCACCTGTAGCTCATTGGGCACCTGGAGTTTCCCAGTTGTCTAAAGCATGGTTCCAGGTTTCTTGGACAATTGGATTAAATCCAAATGACCTCTAGATTCATTCATTCATCAAGTGCTTGTTGGAGTAAAGTGGACAGAGTCCCTGCCTAGGCATGGGATATAATGTCCATAGTGATCAAGGCTCTAAGGAAAAGATGAAGCAGGAGAAGAGATAGAGTGCTAGGCGGTGCTGTTTTAGATGCAGTGGTCAGGAGGCCTCTCTGAGCTGAGACCTGAACAAGGTGAGAGAAAGCCCTGTGAGTGTCTGGGCCAGAATGCTCGGAGCAGAAGGACCAGCACAGGCAAAGCTTGGTGGTGGAAGCAGGCTGGGTATGTTCAGGAAACGACGAGGAAGCCAGTATAGCAGGAACAGAGTGTGCACAAAAGAAGAAGGGTAATGAGATTAGAGAGACGGGCAGGGACCAGATCACAGGGAGCCTTGAGAGGGCCCATCTTCTTACCTACTTGGCAACACTGGGTTTTGGTCTTTTTTTTTTTTTTTTTTTAAAGTTGTCTTGTTTATTTTTTAAAATTTACATAACTGGTTTCATATACTGACGTATTTTTCTACCAGTTGCTTTTTTTCAGTTAATGTATTTTTTTGAGAATCTTTTTAATCTTGGCCGTCCTGAGCAGCAGATATGTGATCTTGTTTCACTTTGAGTTTATTACTAGAGAGGTTGAACATCTTTTTCTAATCTTCTTGGCTTTTTCTGTGTCACCTTTGTGAATATCCTTATTTATGTCCTTTGCTTATTTTTTTTAATCTGGATGGCTGTAACTTTTTTTTACATTTGTTGGGTATCTTACAGGGGCCCTGGTGGCGCAGTGGTTAAGTGCTCGGCTGCTAACCAAAAGGTCAGCAGTTTGAACCCACCAGCATCTCCAAGGGAGAAAAGACCTGGTGATTTGCTCCCAAAAAGCTTGCTGTGATTGTGTGCTATCAGGTTCATTCTGACTCATATAGCAACCCTATAGGACAGAGCAGAAGTGCCCCATCAGGATTTCTAGGCTGTAATCTTCCTGTGCTGTAGAGCAGACTGTAAGTGCTGGTAATCTGTTGTTCCTTTCTGAACCAAGATTAAGGTGCCTTTTTGGAAACTGTAGGAAGCAATAGAGAAAACGGGGGCTGGGTGGCTGGAGGGAGTTGGGACTGTCTGGGAAGGAGAAGGTCAGGTTTGCAGGGTGCTCAGCCCCCCTCCCAGCACAGCTCCCCCAACCCCTGTGCTCTCCCTCTCCCTGCTTGGGGCAGGTCTGCACTCTGACCAAGGAAGACAATCGCTGCGTGGGGAAGATCCCCGAGGACGAGCAGCTGCACGTGCTCCCCCTGTACAAGATGGCCAACACGGATGAGTTCGGCAGCGAGGAGAACCAGAACGCCAAGGTGGGCAGCGGGGCCATCCAGGTGCTCACCGCCTTCCCCCGTGAGGTCCGGCGCCTCCCTGAGCCTGCGAAGTCCTGTCGCCAGCGGCAGCTGGAAGCCAGGAAGGCAGCGGCTGAGAAGAAGAAGATCCAGAAAGAGAAGCTGAGCACTCCCGAGAAGATAAAGCAGGAGGCCCTGGAGCTGGCCGGTGTTCCCACTGACTCAGGTGTGTGGGGAGAGGGCACCTGCCTGGGTGGCCTGGGCATGGTGGGTGTGAGGGCCCCAGATGGCTCCCCACACCCCCCATTACAGCGTCTCACTAGGAACTCCAGACAATAGCCTCCTGGGGCCTCGGCCCAGCCATCTGGACCATGCCATAGCTTAATTTTGTCAGTCAGAGAGCGGTCAGCAGCAGCCCCAGGACACCACCACCTGCTAGGCACTGGGACACCTTCTGTACCTTCCTGGAATTGAGCTTGGTAGAGGAGCAGCATTAGGTTCTCCGCTAGCTTCTTCTCTCCGCCCTCTCTGAGTTGCTGAGGTGAGCAGCGCTGCTCCAGGGCACCTGGCATCAGGTTTTTGGGGCGTGGCGTGTCTGCCGACCTGCATTTATTCTCATTTTTCCCTGAAATCTGTGGGGAGGCTTGTGGGGGAGGTGGCAGTGTGCAGTGGTGGGGTCAAAGGTTGTGCTTCGGTAAGGGCCTCTAGGGTACACTAGGGTAGGGATGACAGAGAGCAAGGCAGAAGGGGCCATGAACTGTGCATGAGCCACTTCTCGCAGGCCTGCCTCTCACCTGCTCTTTGGGTCTGGGGGAGTCCCTTGGTGGTGCAAACAGTTAATGCGCTTGGCTGCTAGCTGATAGGTTGGTGGTTCGCGTCCACCCAGAGGTGCCTCAGGAGAAAGGACTGGCGATTTACTTCCAAAAGATCAGCCGTTGAAAACCCTATGGGGTGCAGTTCTAGTCTGACACACACTGGGGTCGCCATGAGTTGGAGTTGACTCGGTGGCATTTGGTAGCTGGTGGGGCTGACAGCAGGGCCTGTGCTGAGAGTTCCCGGCAGGCAAGTCCAGGACTTGCTTGAGCATGTCTCACCTGTGCTGCCTGTCCTGGAAAGGGAACCACCCTAGGGAAAGAACGTAGGCTCCACCCCCATCTTCTGCCTAGGCCCTTTCTAGGCTGTGGTTCTCTCTGCTTCTTCTCATCTTGCCTCTCTTGCCCCTAGGCTTGTCTCTGAAGGGTGGATTGTCCCAACAAGGCCTGAAGCCTTCCCTCAAGGTGGAGCCGCAGAGCCACTTCAGCTCCTTCAAGTACAGCAGCAACGCGGTGGTGGAGAGCTACTCGGTGCTGGGCAACTGCCGGCCCTCCGACCCTTACAGCATGAACAGCGTGTACTCCTACCACTCCTACTATGCACAGCCCAGCCTGACCTCTGTCAACGGGTTCCACTCCAAGTACGCTCTTCCATCTTTTGGCTACTATGGCTTTCCATCCAGCAACCCTGTCTTCCCCTCTCAGTTCCTGGGCCCTGGCACCTGGGGGCACAGTGGCAGCAGTGGCAGTTTTGAGAAGAAGCCAGACCTCCATGCTCTGCACAACAGCCTGAGCCCGGCCTACGGTGGTGCTGAGTTTGCCGAGCTGCCTGGCCAGGCTGTTCCCACGGACACCCACCACCCCACTCCTCACCACCAGCAGCCTGCTTATCCAGGCCCCAAGGAGTATCTGCTTCCCAAGGTCCCCCAGATCCACCCAGTGTCCAGGGACCCCTCTCCGTTTGCCCAGAGCTCCAACTGCTACACCAGATCCATCAAGCAAGAACCAGTAGACCCACTGGCCCAGGCTGAACCTGTACCCAGAGACCCTGGCAAGATGGGCAAAATACCTTTGCCCGAAGCATCTCAGAATGGGGGACCCAATCACCTATGGGGACAGTACGCAGGAGGCCCAAGCATATCCCCCAAGAGGACTAACAGCATGGGTGGCAGCTGGAGTGTGTTCCCTCCTGGAGAGAGCCCCACCATTGTCTCCGACAAGCTTAGTTCTTTTGGGGCTGGCTGCCTGACCCCATCCCACTTCCCAGATGGCCAGTGGGGGCTGTTTTCTGGCGAGGGTCAGCAGCTAGCTTCCCAGTCCGGAGGACGGCTGCGAGGCAAACCGTGGAGCCCTTGCAAGTTTGGGAACAGTGCCTCAGCCCTGGCCAGGCCTGGCCTGACTGAGAAGCCGTGGGGGATAGGGGCAGGGGATTTCAACTCTGCCCTGAAAGGCGGTCCTGGGTACCAAGAGAAGTTGTGGAGCCCCATGAAAGCGGAGGAGGGACGGATCCCAACCCCAGGGACAAGCCAGCTGGACAAAGCCTGGCAGTCCTTCGGCGTGCCCCTGGGCCCCAGTGAGAAGCTGTTTGGGGCCTTGAAGTGTGACGAGAAGCTGTGGGACCCCTTCAGCCTGGAGGAGGGGACGGCTGAGGAGCCCCCCAGCAAGGGGCCTATGAAGGAGGAGAAGGGTGGTGCTGAGGAGGAGGAAGAGGAGCTGTGGTCAGACAGTGAACACAACTTCCTAGACGAGAACATCGGTGGCGTGGCTGTGGCCCCCGCGCATGGCTCCATCCTCATTGAGTGTGCCCGCCGGGAGCTGCACGCCACCACCCCTCTCAAGAAGCCCAACCGCTGCCACCCTACCCGCATCTCGCTGGTCTTCTACCAGCACAAGAACCTCAACCAGCCCAACCATGGGCTTGCCCTCTGGGAGGCCAAGATGAAGCAGCTGGCTGAGAGGGCAAGGGCGCGGCAGGAGGAGGCCGCCCGGCTGGGCCTGGGTCAGCAGGAGGCCAAGCTGTACGGGAAGAAGCGCAAGTGGGGAGGTGCCCTGGTCGCTGAGCCCCAGCATAAGGAGAAAAAGGGGGCTGTCCCTACCCGACAGGCCCTGGCTATGCCCACAGACTCAGCAGTCACCGTGTCCTCCTATGCCTACACGAAGGTCACTGGGCCCTACAGCCGCTGGATCTAGGTGCCGGGGAGCCAGCGTACCTCAGCGTCGGGCCCAGCCCGAGCTGCCTCTGTGGTGCTTTTGCCCTCACACCTGGGGGCGGGTTGGGGGTGCAGAAGTCTTTTTATCTATGTATACATATATAGATATGCATATATATGTATTTATGGTCCAAACCTCAAAACTGACCCGCCCTCTCCCACCTCCCCAGCACTTTGAAGAAGAAACTACGGCTGTCGGGTGATTTTCCGTGATCTTAATATTTATATCTCCATGTTGGGTTTTTTTTTCCCCCTTGTTTGGGGGTAGGGGGCTTTTATTTTCTCTTTGTTTTTAAAATTCTATCCTTGTATATCACCATAATGGAAAGAAAGTTTATAGTGTCCTTTCACAAAGGAGTAGTTTTAAATTCCATTTAAAATGTGTATTTATTGGATTTTTTTAAAGAAACAATAGTAATGGTAAAGGATCAGCAGGAAAGGCCAGCGGTGCTCATTCCTGCCCTGGCTGCAGGGCCCAGTGCTCCTGGCCCTCTTGGGAGCTGACGAGGTTCTCTCAGCCATCTGTCCCTCACAAACCAAGTGCAGATTGTAGCCACCACCCAGTCCATCCCTCCCGACAGACACGCCTTCCCTCTGGGAAGGAGCCCTCACGACAGCCTCTGTCCTCTCAAGTAGGCTTGGAGTCGGGGCATATGCGCCCCAGGCCAGGCACCTGAGATGCTGGCGTAGATTTCCCCAGAAACCAGGCTGGAAGCAGAAGGCTGCAAGCTTGCTAGTCTCCACACTGAATACTCTGTTACCGATCAAGTCACAAGATGTCATGGTTCACTAGGCAGCACCTCACGATGGAGCTGGAATTGAGAAGGCTCTTAGGAGCCCTTTCTGCCAAGTTGACAAGCCAATTAATACTGGGCTGAAGGAATTTGTCTTAGTGGCAGTTTTGAAAAATGCCCCCAAAAGTCTATGCTGATACTGAAAAAAGGGCTACTGTATCTTTAAAAACAAGAAGTTGAACCCAAGCTGTGAAAAGCCAGCGTTGCTGCCTGTCCATCGCTGTGCGGTGCCTGGTGCTGTAATATTGTGCTGGGACTTTTCTTGACTCTCGGGCAGGTTGAACCCTGCTGGAGCTCAGCAAACCAGTGTAACAGCAGTTAACACATCTTATCCTTATTCCCGGATTTCCACATTGGACAATGGTGCATGCATCACACCTGAGCCCACCCCCTCCACACTATTATTTGGAGGCATGGGGGTTACACTTAACAGTTTTACAATGCAAGAGTCAAACGTTTTCAGCAGGTTGCTAGGATTTCCCTCCATAATTGGTGCCATTTATCTATTTGATCATCTCTTTTCCCTTACTCCTCTCTCCACCCCCTTCTAACATGCCCCTTCTAAGATTCTGCTGCATTCATTCAGTTCATTGAAATGAGACCGTGGTGCTTTAATTTTTGTGACATTGTTGAGAGAGGTTGGGCCTGACAGGTGGAAGCAACACTCAGCGGCAGCAAGTCATACTTCTGGGAGTGTTTGTTTTTCCTGTGGTGTTAGCAGAAATTCCACCAAGCACCCCACATGGGCGTGCATGGTGGATAGGAGGCTTCACCCTTGTTTGTCCATCAGGACACAGCATGAGGAGAGAGTGGCCACACGGAGTGAAAAGCGAGCCCTGAGAGAAACCTCATATTTATTGAGCAGTTTTATTCAGATGTGGGTCTTTGTAAAATGAGTTTAACAATCAGATGACAATGCTAAAGGCAAGTTCTGCACTCCCAGGTGCCTTGTGTAAGAGCTGAGAGCCGACCCGCTGGGCATTTACTGTAACCGGTCCTGAGGTGCTGGCGGAAAATCGCTGTACAATGTCCTGAGCATTTATGTGGTCTGGTTTTAACTGTAAATAGTGAAAGATTTTTTTAAGCACTTTTGCCTAGATTTAAACAGCAACTTGAAAAAGAAAAAAAAAAAAGTATGTTTTAACATGTAATTGTGGGAGAATTGTAAATAGTAGCCGAATATTTAACGTGCTTTGTCTGTCCTTCACTTTTACCATATTCTGTAAAGTTGCTTTTATTTTACAGGACAAAAATGAAATATTATTGCTTTTGAAATAATTACCCAAGAGCTTATCAGGATTTAGAATTATTCAGAACTCAGATTTATAGGAAAACTTCTGACCTTCCATTTGACAAGCTAAAGGAAGCGGAGTCTTTAATGAGCATGCTAATTTTCTAGTTTTGAGGAAAAGTTGGGTCCTTCAAATGCTATTTTGCTTATCGCATCAGTGCTTTTATGCAGGTCTCATTCGACTCATGCTTAGGTAGATGCGGGGGTGCCTTGAAAACTTCATTTTAAATGATCTTAGCAAGAAATACAATATTTTACAAAACACTTTGAGAATGTGACCGTCTGTGTGGCCCGTGAAGCCCCAGGTTTGGCTGTTGGTTTGGAAGGTCCCGAGTGTAACCAGGTGATTCTGATCCTTGGCACGTGTGAGTCTTCCCGATGTATGTTAAATATACTTTTCCCCTCATCACCCTTTGGTAGCAAAGCCATTAGATGAAAGGCGAAACCAACAGAAGCGAAAAGCATGTGACTTCTGTCCCCCCGCCCAAACAGCCTTTGGTTCATAAATTTCTAGGTTAGGAAACAGGCTGCTAAGAGATGAGTCAAGAGGCAGTCTCCATTGGACGTCCCCATTCCCCCAGAACGGTGTTACGAGAGTTAGGTGGTGCTGTTGCCGTGCTCAAGCCCATGCTGATTTTTACACACTACATGTATAACCTACCTCAAATCTCAGTCATTAAGATTAGCATGCTTTAGACGTATATTTAAAAAGTAACTATGCACAGCTATTTGTCCCCCCTTGCTGCTGAAGGTTTCTTAAAGAGAAAAAAAAAAATCAAATTTTTATTTTTTACTGGCACTCTCATTTTTTTAAGTCCTGAAGATGATTAACAGACATTTTTATCATGAGAAGAAAAATAAAGCCATTGTAACTGAAGAACCTAATAGCACGACCCAGTCTTAAGAGTAATTAATATGACAGCAAGGGAAGAGGATGGAGTCTAACAGCCAGCCCCCAGTGCGCCTGTCCGCGGGCGCCATCCACGTGTGCTGCAAACGTGTGCTTCCTTTGCCCTTTGTTTCGTTTCCCCTGCCCTTTGCGTGCAAGGGAAGCACCTGCAAAGTTCTGTGCTAAGAGATTTTTAAAATAAAAATCGTTTCACAGCAGGTTCTCACAAAATAACTGGTGCTAGCCCAAGAAACCATTACCTAACCATCGGAAATCTTGACTAAAGGTGTTTCATGGATTTGGGAGGTTTTTTTGGTCTGTTTCTTGTCGTTGGCTTGTTTTGATTTTTGGCAGGGCCTAAGTTTCCCACACCCCGGCTTCATGGGTACTGCGTCGCCTTCTCCCTGAGATGACAGAGGTGTGCATGGAAAGAGATTATACCCTGCCCCCTCTTGGCCCTTCCACCAGCCTCTTTTGGAAACAGTAGTTTGCAGAGCAAGGGGTTTTTAAAGCGCTAAAGCAAGGAAAGAAGTGCCAGAGCTGAATTGCTTCGCATCAAGCAGCAGTAGATGTGCAAGGATGGTTGAAGATGAGTAGATGGTAGCCTAAATTCATTGAGAGAAATCCAGTCAGATTTTCTTCTTGACGTTTAACCACCACGATAATCTCAAACCAAGGCAATGCTGGTGGGAAACGAAAACGATATCCCTGATGTGCCTCAACCAGTATCTCTTTCCTTTGGTTACTGAAGTGTGTTTTATGGAACTAGGAAGCATTTTTATGAATTGAAATAGTCTAAATAAAATGGTGCTATGGTATTTTAATGTGACTGTCCCTGACCCTGTCTTGCTGAGGTGCTATCAACATTACGAAACCACAACCAACCAAAAACAAGGTGGGCTCCAGTCTCTCTTGGCTTTTTTTTTTTTTTAAACCCCGCTCTTTTTGGTGCTGTCTTCTTAGACCTCTTGTTTACCGTGCTATATCTGCTCTGAGCAGTTTTTCTGTTTTGTCTATTGTTTTTCCCTTGGTGGCCAAACAAAGAAAGGAAGGTTGAGAGGGCAGCTAGCTCTCTGGCTGCCGATGGGAGTGGACCTACCTGGCTTGGCAGGTCCTTTGGTTTCAAACGTGTTGTCTCAGGCCTAATGAGAAAGAAAGGGTGAAGGGCTTGTTCTTTTTGAGGAAGGGGGAGTTGGGGCTCCTGTCTCTTCTAACATGGCAGGCATCCACATAGCCAGGAAGATGTTTTCCTCTGCAGCTCAAGGTGCCAAGGAGTCCCGAGGTTGACCAGATGGATCTCCTTCCTCACTGGCACAGGCTGAGACCATGGTGGGCAGAGGGGGGTTGTTTCTTTCCTCCTCCCATCCTTTGCCTCAGCATTGCTTCTGCTTCTTGTTGGTAACGTGTCCTGTTTAAACTAAAGAAAGGAGCTTTGTTTGCTCTCCGATGCCACAGGGGGCTGCTTTTTAGTTGGTGCTATTCTAAATTTCTTCTTGGGTCCACAGGAGTTGATGTTTTAAAAACTCAACAGGAAGCTCCATTTTGTGTCATCCACTGTCACAATAATTTTTTTTTAAATACCTCAAAAACAGGACATTGTGACAACTTTGGTAAAGTAGATTCCGTGCGGGGTCTGATACCTGCAGGTTGTCCATTTGATGATGTACTTGACCTTTAAGAATCTGGGGTCATTTTATTTTTTATTGTTCAGCGGTTAAAATTGCAGAACATCTAAAGGAGCATTGTTGACTTTATTTTGTTAAGTTTTGCTTTTGAATAAAATGTGAATTTCCTATGTCCATCTCGTTGAGCTTTCTCAGTCATTGTTACTGTCATTTGAAATGATTCCCTCAAATCCTAGTTTGACTCACCAGTTACATCTGTAGTAATACATGGCCAACTTCAACATACCCTGGACCAAAATGAACACTTTGTGATGTGCACGCCCCCAGCATATGTTAAAATTCCACCCTACGTGCGCATCGAGTGTTCAGACGTGAGAGGGAGCAGAGGGTGGAGGCCCATCACGGCCCTCCCGGCTTGCCCACCTGCCCTCCTCAGAGCTGCCCACAAAACAAAGCAATAGGCTTCTCCCCAGCAGAGACTGAAGCACAGAAATCCAAGGTCTAACGTTGCTTTTTGCCTAAGAATCAGTGAGCGATTTGGCTGACTTCCTCATTTGCTTCTATTCCGATATCAGGGATGCTTTTTGTAGTGGTTTTGTTTGCTCTCTTTTCTCATTTTGACTACCCGTCATTCAGGGATAACTTATCACTATCCACATGGGAATTAAAGTACTAATTGGCTCATTCAAACATCCAGATTTTCTTGGTTCCGATACCTTTTGTTTATTTTCTTTTGAGGGGTAAAAGGGGGAGAACAACAGGAGTGATGTCATTTCTGTTCCATGTAGTCCAATTAAAAAGAAACAAGGGCAGGTCGCATTGTGGCATATTAATGCATTAGACTTAATCTAGAACGCCTATAGCTTTTTGATGTGTTTTATTTCTTATCTTTTTGGATTCCTGTTTGGTTACTTGGCTTCCAATGGAGGTGAACTTAACAACCATACTTGAATATTCCGTCTTGACTTTGTAACTGTGGCTACTTGAAATGAAGATTATCTGGGGTTGATGGATGAATGGTAGATTTTTGCAATGTCTCAAGGCAATAGGATGTGTATTATTAAACTGTAGATATTCTTAGTACAGTAAATTTATGCTGATAATTTTATTTTGTATAATTTTTACCTTTTTGTTAATATTTTTTTTCCTCCCACTTTATTGGTTTGCCTCCTGAGCGACCCCTCCTTACCCTCCCCCCTCCCCAGTGTTTCGGTAAATTTGATTTAGGGTGCCTAGAAATTGCAAGTATGTATCCTTTTTTGATTTGTATTTTATTATAATTTACACAAACAACTGGGTTTGTGAACTGTATTACTCCTGGTATCTTTAAAATATTGTGGGTGTTTTAATAAATTTTATATTTATTTTTTGCACTCAAATTCAGTGTGAGTCTTTTTTTTCCCCCCTTGAACCAGAACCAGATTGTGGTATTTAAAGGTGCCCAATAATCTCACCCTCTCACTGCATGTTGTAGATGCAAAAAAGGAAGGCCTAATGTTAACCCATGGTCTGTTAGCCATGATAGAACCTGTCCTTGTCCCCTCCCACCACCTGGATAAAGTAATGTTCAAAGACTGTTAGCTGTTAAAACTGGGCATAAAGGGGAAAGTAAAGACACCTCAGAAGTCCCTGGGTGGCGCAAACAGTTAAAGGTTGGTGGTTCAAACTCACCTAGAAGAGTCACCTTGGAAGACAGCCCTGGCGATCTGCTTCCAGAAAGTCACAGCCTTGAAAACCTTATGGAGCAGTTCTTCTCTGTAGACACGGAGTCACCATGTGTCAGAATCAACCTGACAGCAGCTAACAACAAAGAGCCTTTATCATCTATATGTCTCCTTTTGTTTTCTTTCCCTTTTGTACTTTTGTCCTCTCTTCCTATTCTCTAAACTTCGAGACACTCTTCTCCCCCGGTAGAAGTTGCTCACTTCTGATGTTATGTTTGCACAGATTTGCTGAATCCTTGTTGGCTCTGATGGCTTGAACACCAAGTCCTATAGGGAGGGGCTGAAGTGGGGCCCTCAGTTCTGCTGTCTTCGGGGACAAGAAGTTTCCTATAAGGTTCCATGGGGGGAGGCTAGCTCTTTTAATTCAGACTCCCAATTCTGGTGGTGGCTGATCTTGAATAGAGAGCTATCAATTGAGGAAGGAAAAGAGAAGGGGAAATGGAAGAGGAAACTGTCTCCTCCATCCTTCCTCCTGCTTGAAATGTCTGACTGAAGTTGATCAATGTCTCTGAGAGACAACCAACCCAGCAGTTGATAGAAACTTGAGTTCTCTTTCCAGTGGATCCAGTTGACAGCAACTTCCCAACATCCCACGAGGTCACTC